AAAAAGTAAAGGACCCAGGACAGAGCCTTGGGGTACACCGGAATTAACTGGAGTAGATACTGATCTGTGAGGGAGTAATTGAACAAACTGAGCGGCCAGAGAGATAAGAAGTAAACCAGGTGAGTACTGTACCATTGATGCCAATAGATGCTAATCTGTGAAGGAGGATGCGGCGGGAGATCCAGAATCAGCTGCAAGCAAAAGATTATTGGTGATTTTTCCTAAGGCTGTTTCTGTACTGTGACATGAACGGAAGCCGGACTGAAACTGTTCGTACAAGTTATTTCCAATGAGATGATGATGAACCTGTGCAGCCACTATCTTTTCAAGAATTTTTGCTAGGAAAGGGAGATTTGAAATTGGCCTGAAATTATTTAGATTGGAGGGATCTGAACCATTCTTTTTCAGTATTGGAGTTATTATTGCAGTTTTAAGAGAAGAAGGAACAGAACCATATACAAGAGAGGAGTGTACGATATTAGGAATCAGTGGGGCAAGAGACGGGAATGAGAGTTTAACAGGATTTGTCGGCAGTGGATCAAGTTTACGTGATGATGACTTTAAGTTAGATATTATGGAAGATAGCTGAGTTATTGTGGGAAGTTCAAAATTGGATAGAGAGGATGACAGCTGAGAAGGACAAAAAATGCAGATAGAACAATTGACCATTTCACAGGACGACGGCAACTGTTGATGAAGATTCTCAATCTTGGTCTAAAAAAAAAAAAAAAAATCCATAAATTTGTTGCAAACTGTGGCAGAGTGTGTATGTATGGCAAAGGTATGTGGGGGTTTAACAATATTATGCAATGTAGAAAACAAAGTGCGAGTGCTTCCTTCAGCAGATTCAATAACAGAGATTTAGCATGATGAATAGCTTCTTTATAGTGTTGTATATGACTGAGATACATGTCCTTGTGAATATTAAGTCCTGTTTTCCTGGAGAGACATTCTAGGCGGCGTCCAGTAGCTTTAAGTTGGCGAAGTTCAGATGAGTACCATGGTGCAGAGCGAGAGAAAGAAACAGTTAGAGTTTTTTGGGGAGCCAAGGTATCTAAGAGGTTGATAAGTTCATTGTTATAGTGAGATACCAGGTCGTCTATGGAAGCTGAGGCATCAATGGTAGGTAAGTTATTAATGCCATGGGAAAGAGCTGATAGCTCAATGCCCCTAATATTTCTAAAAGTAATTGAGTGGTTTTGTTTATTTTTGTATAGTGGGAGACTAGCATTGAATAAAACTAATTTATGGTCTGAAAAAGGCATGTCCAAAACAGCACAATTCTTAGGGGTGACACCAATACAGCAAACAAGATCCAAAATGTGTCCTTTGGAGTGTGTGGGAAAGTATCAGTATCGGATCAGTATCGTCGATACCACCCTGAATTTTACTTGGTATTGGATCGGAAAGGAAATCAGTGGTATCGCACATCACTAAATATTACCCCGCCACCAGCCTGTAACATTGATACAAGGCAGGATGGATCCATGCTTTCATGTTGTTTATGGCAACATGACCCTACCATTTAAGCAACATTTTTCTAATCTTGAACAGTGCTGTCCAGTTTTGGTGAGTCTGTGAAATGCATTGTTAGTTTTCTGTTCTTAACTGGTGGGAAGCTACTGTGGTCTTCTGCAGTTGTGCATTCAACCATGCTCTTCTGCAAACCTACGGTGTAACAAGTGTTTATTTGAGTTGCTTTTAATTTATCAGCTCTAAGACTTAGTGTGGGCAAAAGTTGCTTTTTGTAGCCATTGTTTAGAAGACAATGTTCTAGAGAACTGTTGCTCACCTGATATTTTTTCTTCAGACCATTTGTCCTGTAGGTTTTAGATATCACCCTGGGTCAACACACCTGAATCCATTCTCATTCCCAGGCCTCCGAAGAACTCCAAGACATGTTGAGGAGGTCATTTAGCCATTTAAATCAGCTGTGCTGGATCAAGGACACATCTAAAACCTGCAGGACACCAGCCGTCGAGGCCTGGAGTGCATGTTTCTCTAATGCATTTACCTAATCAAAAACAAAAACATCGGCCTGCATATTCTGTAACTTTTCATATCATATTATTCTGAGTGTTCACTGAAGTGATCATCTCCTTCATGCTGATGCCAACTTGCCCGCACCTTATTTAATACGGTAATTTGACTCTATAGGGGTGAAGCTAGAGGAGTTGAATACAAGCAATTTGGCTTGAAAAGATTTTTTATTTTTTTTTGAATTACCACTGTGAGTAGAGAAATGGATCCACAATGCATGACGTCACCCCATTCAAAGTAAATGTAAGGTGAGCGTTGACCTCTGACACCTACATATGAATCTGACCTTGCAGACGAAAACACTACATAGTGCTACAGTAATTTCCCATTAAAGTACAAGCTGGTGGTCTAACTTTTTAATTCTTGTATAACTGTATCTGCAGTTTAAGCTGCAGTAGGCGAAGGAGCCACCAAGGTAATTGTCCTGAACGCCTTGTCTATTTTTCTATTGTTTAGACTGTGAGAGTCATTTCAAGGGTGTCATTTTGAACGTGGGCTCTTCAGTTGTATGGTAGATTTTCTCACTCTGCTTTCTCTGAATACAGACCCTCCTTTATCTTCAGTATCACATTAACAAGCTGTCCATTCATTGAATACCAAACAGGACTCATTACTTGAAGCTAGACTGTGTGCGTATGTGTGGGGGAGAGTAAAAAAGTCAGAGATAATACGTATTAATTACAGGCTCTATCTGAAGAGTGTTAATGAATGCCGTGGTTAGCAGCAGTTTAAATGAGCTAATGACACGGCAGCTCATTTACAGACCCTCACACGCACTCACACACATACAGAGTGGCTTGGCAATATAGATCTTCTTTCCTTTGGGTGAAATTTTGGAAGTTATTCAGACATAGTTATATCAATGTACATTGTTTCAACAAATACAAGGCCTTTGTCTCAAACAGTGTTGACCTTGCTGAATTTATTTGTTTCTCCCACATGCACAATGCAGCAGTTGTCATCTTCAAGGTGGCTCCCTGTACGTTAATGCTACTGTTTTCTGTTGTGGTATACTGTATGTATGAAAACATCAAATCTGGAGGCGATTTTCCTTAAATTTGAAAACTTCCTTTTGGTCAACAGACCAAGGCTGTGAAAGGAGTGAACAGACATTTTTGTGTCATATTAGAGCTGTAAGCTGCTTGCAAATGTTATTATGTGCCCAGTTTACTCCGTTAATGTTTCTGCATGCGTTCGGGTGTGTCTTTTTAGGTTTTGGTTCATGCCATAACAGAGCATGTGGAAGATGCCGGGGTGCACTCTGGAGATGCTACCCTAATGCTGCCAACCCAGACCATTAGCCAAGGGGCACAGGAAAAGGTCAGTTAAGTCACCTTAAAGTTGACACGGTGCACATTGCATATTCCCTTGTAGAAAGTGTCCAGTGTGTTATACACACACAAAAAATGACATATAAAGAAATTATTTAGTGTTCAACAAATTTCCAGATTGAGACCAAAATTCAAACAGTTTAAGAAACCGGCTACAAAACAGTCGATCATCTGTTGATTTTTTTTTTTTTTTAAATGATATTTATTTAAAGCTAGTTTCACATTTATAGCTAAGTGAGGGGGGATGTGCCTTGGAATATTATATATTCTTTCATACTAATTACTTTAAGTCCTGCAGTTTTAGGTACAAAATGAGCTTTTCATGTGTGTCTCTTGCTTTAGGTCTTTTTCAGCCCCATGCACATGTCGTTTTGTTAGAGCCAGAGCTGGTACTGCCATCCCTGTTTGTTGTTACAAACACAACAGTGTGAATAAGCAGAAAACGTAACCAATCAATAAAATGTATCCTGATGAAAAGGGTGCATCTGTCCATTAAAAAATAAATAAATAAATAAATGCAGCAAAAGACACGTATGATTCATTTATGTTTTACGACACGTGGCTTCTCTGTTTCGGAAATGGAAAAAATACCACATAATGACAGAGGAGGAAATCGAAACTGGCAGAATGGAAAGCAGCTTTAGTGATTCAAACTGTTTTTTTTGTTTTTGTTTTTTTCTTAATCCATGTTAAGTAAGCAGTTTACCTTGCACTTTGTGCTTTTAAAATGTTCTCAATTTGTGTTCAAACTGAAACAGTCTTATTTGATTTTTAAGTGTGTGTTTGTTTTCCCTTTCTTCTTCTTCTCCTTCTTTTTCTTTTAGGTTAAAATTGCCACCCGAAAAATCGCGCACGCATTTGAAATTTCTGGGCCATTTAACACTCAATTTCTGGTTAAAGGCAATGATGTCATGGTAGGTATATCTCTCAGTGTGTGACTAAAAAGACAGATTGACATTTTCACACCTGGTTTCAGCTAATGCAACTCACTCACAAAATGAAATCCCCTGTTGTTTAAAATGGTTGGCAAAGCTGGCCGAATTAATAATCAACCTTGCCTTCAGCTTTGGTGTTCAGCCACAGCGCACATGCACGCCCACTATTTGTGTGTATGTGTGTGTATCTAATCTGGCCATTTGTATAGTATATTTGCATTTGTAATCTATATATTTCTATTTATCTTCTAAGTAACCTTAATTTAAAGTTAATGGTATACTGAAAGAATCGTTTTTTCTTTTTTTTTCTTTTTTTTTTTTTTAAAAAAAAAAAGAAGAAAAAAACTTTTTTCAGATTACTATATTTTTATATTGCATCCTGTAGGTGATCGAATGCAATCTGCGAGCGTCACGCTCCTTCCCTTTTGTATCCAAAACAATTGGTGTCGACTTTATCAACGTGGCAACCAAAGTGATGGTGGGAGAGCCTTTGGATGAGGCCAGCCTTCCCTCGCTCGAGAAACCCATCATTCCCGTGCACTACGTCGGAATCAAAGTAAGAAGGAAAACTGAAATGAGCTTATAGCTGGGAAATGCACGACTGGCTTTCTTTGAATGTTTTTGTTTGTTATTTTGATGTTTTTCAGGGTACTGAGAGAATGGATTGGATTATAGACAAAATGAGTTTTAAAAAAAGAAAGCGTACGTGAGGAAGCACAATTGCAACTCTCTGTAAGTCTTTGTGTCCAAGCATGAAGAATGGAAAAGCAATGTAGGCTATAACAGCTTACTAACCTCCCATAGTTGGTCGAATTAATTGATAGTATTAATAAATTTTAATAAAGTACTGATAGTAAAATGGTGTTAGGACCAGAGATGGGCCGATTACTTTTTTCAAGTAATGAGTAAAGTAAGGGATTACTATTTTAAAAGAGTAATTAGAATACTGTTACTTTCCCGTAAGCACGCTGCATTACTGCGTTACTAAACCGTGATTTTGTTTGCGAGAGTGTCTCATGACGATGACGTACGAGCGTGCGACATCCGTGGTAGCAAATGACGTGTGTAGCTCAATAATGTATAATATGGAGAGCGGGAGAGAGTACGACCATTCAGTGTTTAAAGCTATATTTAATTGTTTTCAGCTCTATTCACTGCTGTCTTCCTGTTTCTTCACTCCCAGAAGGTTAACTCTTCACTGGCTAGCCTCACTCATTACGTTCGTTTAAACAGAATCAGAAACGCCACTTGCAGTGGGAGCGACTGGAGTCAGGTGGGGGCCCCCTTAGGGATGTGTGGTCTCTCTGATTGTCATTGCAAACTTTTCCATTGCTGTAGTGTAAAGTTTGCCTGGTGCCAAGCGGTGCCTCTGTCCAAGGAGGTCTACAAAATTGACCACCTGGGATACCAGGCTTGCAAGGTTTTGACATATACTGTTGCTATTGTTGAGTAGCCCAAGCAGCCCTGTGATTCAACCCACAGGAGGCCACAGAGTAGCTCCTGTGATCAGCCAAAAATTTCCCCCAAGTGCTGCTCCGGTCAGCCTAAGTGCCTGCCCTCAATTCTCCTTTGGTCATCAGCTGTCAATGCGAAGAGTCAGGTGACCCTGCTTTCAGCCCTTCTGCTTTTTGTAGTGTTTTTTTTGTTTTCTTCCAGTCTGGCAGTACTCAGGACTCTCTTCAGTGTGCCCATGGGACCCTGTGCTCAGCCCATTTTGCTGCCAGTGGGCGCAAATGCTGCCAACGCACTTGTGTAATTGTGTGTTCAGTGTCATTCTGTGCAGGAAAAAATGGAATCGCTGAGCAGACAAAGGAACCGCTTTTATTTTTCATTATTTCAGCCCATGCCCATTAGAGTCTGTACACACTAATGTAATAGAAATTTAACCATGGTTCCATTATGCGCTTGCATGAAATTCTTCAGATGTCACTTTTGTGTTTATGTGTGTACATTAAAGCAGTCGCCTGGCACTTCAGGCCAAAAACATGTTGTTAGCTCTCTGGTTTGAGAAATTACACAGATAGTCATTGTTAACACTCTAAAGTGCAACAAATGAATTAAAATGATTTAGTTCTTCTGAATTTTATTCTATTTGCACACTGAAAGCCTCTTTAAATTGAGTAGCAACAGTATTTGTGCTGTGGTGTTATAAAATGCAGCTGTTTATTTTGAGATCAAGCTTAACACCAGCTTTCTTTTCTTCTTTTTTTTTTCTAGTTTTTTGCACTTAATAATCCTGACTTTTGGGTTTTAAGGCCATAAGAAAATAGTATCCATTCATTCTTTCTCTACTGCTTATCCTTTCAGGGTTGCAGGGGGGGCTGGAGCCTATCCCAGCTGTCTTAGGGCAAGAGGCAGGGTACACCCTGGACAGGTTACCGATCTGTTGCAGGGTTAACACATAGACACAGACAACCATTCTCACTTACATTCACCTATCACCATTAACTGCATGCCACTAACTGCATGTCTTTGGACTGTGCAAGGGAGACGGAGTACCCAGAGATAACCCACACAAACATGGGGAGAACATGCAAACTCCACACAGAAAGACCCCGGCCTGATGGTGGAATTGAACTCTGGTTTCTCTCAGCACTGTTGCCTCACAGCAAGAAGGTTCTGTGTTTTTAACATTACAAGGTATAATCTTGTAACATCATCTTGATAATTTTACGGTAAAGTTTAATCCTGAAAAACAAATATGAAGCCAAGAGGCACATCTCATTTTCCCTTCAAAGTATGAAATAGCACATGTATTATGGACAAATAGTATAATTTGATAGAGTATAGTATATTGCATATTTTGGCTGTCTCAGAAACACCAGTTTGGACAAATGGAGGTGAAGCTTCTCTGTTTTGCAAATGGGCAGGGCAATCCAATGATACTGTGGTAGTTCTGTCTATTTCTCCTTGCTGTCACTGAGCTTCAGGTTGCACTATTTCACAGATCTCTCTAGCGGTCTCCTATAACCCCTGTAGTTTGCATCAGACCACAAACGCAATGGTGACTTTAAAAGGAACAAGTGTGTTTTGTGTGAAAGAGTCATTTACCTTTCCTTAAAAATACCTAATTGCCATATCCTTATCCTGTATGGTTTGTAAATGAGTTCGTGTTTAGAGCCTTACACGTATGGTATTGTTATACGTACTGCAGGCTGCACTAATACAGCTTGCGTTGGCTCACATAACAAAGACAGCAATTACTCCTTCATCGTTATACCCAGGCACGATGAGGAGAATAGTACCTGGCTTTCTCATACCAACTGGGAGTCTTACTACTTAGACTGGGTATGAGAGCGTTTACGTGTCGCCAGCTGTTCAAAAGCTATTTTTTCTGAAGTAATTTCTCTCTCTAATTACAACAGAGCTGCTGTAACAATGGTTGTAGTTTGAAACCAATCACGCAGGCATAATCCCCAACTCTTCCCCACCACCTAAAGTTTTCAATTTCCAGTCTGCGCGGTGGTAAGGAATATTAATCAGAGCTCTGAATTCTCCATGCGCCAAGCTTAGACTTCCAGAGTTTACTTGGAGAATATGACACAGGCTTCATACCCCCTGACTGATATGGGACTTCTTTGAAACCTTGCCTCGGTGCATTTGAGTTGTTTTAACAAAGCAGAGCTAATTTTCTTTTTTTCCTGTTAAACATGTTTCTTCCACAACATCAAACCCGACTGCAGACAGAGTGTGATTGTGGGGGAAAAAAACATTATCCAGCAAAAGTGCCCTAAAGTGTGTTTGATCAGTATATTCCCTCTCATCACCTTTAACCTCACTGTATCATCACAAGACACATGTTATTACCACCAGAAAGACCACTGTCATTTATCTGTCTTATTCCCTCTCAAGCTTTAGTCTTGCAGCCTGTTTTCTCTCTGAAGGCCCCTCATTTGAAGCAATGTTTCTTTATTTTTTTTCCTTTTCACTAACAAGTCCCTATTGTGTCATTTCTGTCTCCATATACAAACTCATAGGAATAACGCCACATTTGTATTTATGATACCAGGAGGAGAAAGAGCATGAAAACAACATTTGAGCAGGATATGATGGTTTGGTGTCGCTCCCCAGTTCAAAGCCATTTAGTGAAGAAATGTAAGTTCCAGCTGCTACATGCTTTGTCCCCTGACCATGGGGAATTACTGCATTATGGTAACTTCTAAGACAAATTCTTGTGAGCTTAATGACCCAGGAGAAAAATGTACACTTGAAACGGCATGCTGGACTTACACTTTTCTTAAACACTTAAATATGAGGAGGTCATGTTAGTAACACTCATGATACTGGCACCAAAGCATGTGGCACAGGTATATCTGCCAGTTGGTGTTTGGTTACTTTTACGTAATTTTTAAACACTCAAAATATTGCTCCTGCTTCTTAAAGTGTTTGCTGACCTGTGCAAACTGCTCCAAAATATTTCATATTTTTAGGTACATGCAGGTACCAGAATTTTGGGGCCACATATACGCTTTACTCTACTCCTCTTATCATGCTTGACTAGTCCATACTGTTAAAAATGTACAAAAATGATTATGGTTTGTTGTGGAGACTGCTTGAAGGAGTGGTCAATCTTAAAGTCCTGGCCAGTTAATAGAATCTCAGAAAGGTCACTTTACTGGGGACACTTTGCTAGTATTGGGTTGGACCTCATTTTTGCCTTCATTACTGCCTTAAGTCTTCATGGCATCAAATTATCAAGTTGCTGAAAACATTTCTCAGAGATTTTTGGACCATGCTCTCATGATGCCATTCCACAGTCGCTATTGATTTGTCAATTGCACATCCAAGACAAACATCTCCTATTCCCTCGTAGCCCGAAGGTGCTCCCTTGGATTGGATCCCAGTCTGAGATGATTTGGGATTTGTGACATTAGTGTGTTATTCTGCTAGAAACTGAAGATCTGTACAACGTGGTCATAAAGGAGTGTGCATGGCCAGGATTAGTACTCACGTAGGCTCTGCTATTTAAATGATGCTCAGTAGGGAACTAAGGGCCCCAAAGTGTGCTAAGAAAACAAGGTTCAAGGTTTGGCATGTTGTGCGTTTAGAGATGTCTTCTGTGCAGTATGGCCATTGTCCTCTGATTCCTGGCTTCTCTAGGTGAAAATAACTAGTTGAACTGCTGCTCATTGGACATTTTTTTCTTATTTTGAACCAGTTGGCTGCGTGTAAAAATGCCAGTACATTGCAAAATTCTAAAATACTCAGACGAGCCTTTGAGACACCAAAAACCATTCCATAGTTTTTTACTGTTCTGATGCTCTGCTTAAACTTCAGCAGGTCGTCTTGAGTACGTCTACATGCCTAAATACATTAAGATGGTAACATAATTATGAATAATGATTTATGTTAACAAGGAATTGAACGGATGTACCTAATAATAAGGTGATCTGCGAGGGCAGATTTTTATTTTATTTTATTTTTTAAATTGATTTCCTTGAGAATTTTGGTCAGCTTTCTGGGTGGGGGGATAAATAGTTCTTCTTTTTCATCTTCTTCCACATGCTCATTTTTTTTAAAACATGAGAGCGACCCAATTTAGCCTGAACTTAGCAGAAACGTTTTTTGTTGTTTGTTTTTTTTTTTAAGTCTTGCATGCCACGGAGACGCACAGCAGCTACCCTTCTAATTTTGGCAGATTTCTTTTACTTTTTTTCTCTGTGTGAGTGTAAGAAAAATCTTGCCAAAACAGATTCTTTTTTTTTTTTCTTCCGTTTTTTTAGAAAGGAAAAATAACTTGTAATGGTTTCTAGTTTGCCCAATTATATGCTTCCAAGCTTTTCAACTAAAAACGGTTCTCAAATTAGAAGTGTGCTTTGCTGTTCCCCCTGCTGGTTGCGTGATTTTTATGAAAAAGAAGAAAAGAACATTTTAGACTGTGCGGCTTTTCACAGTTGTGTTGCCTTTATTCACACATGTGTATAAATATCAACTACTGGTTGGAGAACCACAGGAATAATATTAAGTGGGGTTTATTGGTAGTGATGATCAGTCAGAGCACCTTCCAGCAAGCTTTACCACTGAGGTGACAAATGCAGCATAACAGAGCCATCCTGCACCATACAGTCATGTGAGGAAATTAGGACACCCCATTAAATAATTGGCTCTTTTTAAAGAAATGTTCACATATCAATGTCCAATCATGTTTTCATGTATTACTGGGAAAGAAAGTGACTTAATTACAATTAAACAACAATTATTAAAAACATTTTACACATCAAAAAAAAGAGATGAACAAAAATTTGTATTTTAATGGAGGTAAAGGTTAGGACACCCTACCCCCTAATAACTAGTGTTGCCCCCTTTGGCTGACATAAATTCAGTGAGACGCCTTTTGTAGCTTTTTACCAGTCTTTGACAACAATCAGAAGAAAGTTTGCCCCACTCCTCAATGTAGAATTCTTTCTGCTGTGAGATGCTTGAGGGTTTTCTTGCATGTACAGCCTGTTTCAAGTCACCCCACAGCGTCTCAATGGTATTAATATCAGGGCTTTGATTTGGCCATTCCAGGACTCTCTGGATTTGCTGGTATGCTTTGGGTCATTGTCATGTTGCAGTGTCCAGTTCCACTTCGGCTTTATTTTTTTAAGAGATGGTTTCACATGTTCTATAAGCACCCCCCAATACACAGTCAGATTTTTGAATCCCTTACCAAACTCATAAGCGGCCACAATCTTCTTTCGGAGGGCATCAGACAGCTCTTTAGATCTCACCATGGCGCTCACTTCAACACTTCAACAGTCAGGAGCACACCAAACTAAATCTGAGGGTTAAATAGGGCAAGGCTCCTTTAAAATGCTGGTTAATGATGTACTGATCATGTGCACCTGACATGATACACCGGTGGGATTTTAACCCTTTTAAGTGGGATAACATGTGGGGGTGTCCTAATTTATTCCTCACCAGAAATTACATTCTTTTTAAATTGCATTTCACATAAAGTTTTAAAAAGTCTTTTCTTATTTTTAATTGTTTAATTATATTATTTGAATCCCTCAGTATCATCAAAATTTATATTAAATATCCATATGTCCAAATATATTTTTAAATATACAGGCTTTCATAGGGTGGCCTAATTTTCTCACATGACTGTGGTGGTTTTAGTCTGGTCTTGTTACCAGTTTCTGTCTTTTGAGAGAATATTTTGAATGTGGATGGGAGCTAAATGGGTTGAAATGACAATACTGAAGTTATGTGCTATTGACCTTCAAGAAGGCAAAGGTCATCACTATGAAATGAAGCTTTTACTGTGTTACAGCTGTTCTAATGATAAAGGGCACCGAGCAACACTTGGGTTCACACCAGCAACATTTAAGTTCTCTAGGATCCAATACTATATAACTTGGCACTTGGCCCATTAATGGTATTGACACCACCCCAGTTATCTACTTGCAACACAATCCTCAGAGGGCCTACCCCTAGTTGGCACTGAGTGTGCAGCTTTACCAAGAACACTATCCAGGCACTATTTATTTCCTAGAATCCTTACAGCCATGCAACCAACTACCATGAGCCAGCTAAAAACTTCAAAATTACCACATAATTTTGTTTGTAATCGAAAAAGCACTTTACTCAGAATGGCAGTCGTTTTACTTCTTCTTAGAATGAAGATGCCGTCAACTTTCAGAAAACTGTCTTCACTATTCGTATTTGTTCAAATGTCTTCAAAGAATCCTGAATCTGCCAAGTTCCTGAGTTCCATTTAACTGTGAGTTTAAAGACATTCCTACAAGTGCTTTTTCCAGTAAAGCAGACAACAACAACAGCAATGTTACGTGAAAATGTCTTGCTAGATTCATGTCCTTCTCCACTGGAGCTCAGCTGGTGCCCGAAGATAACATGATTCATGTTGTGGAGACTCACAGTTCTACTCTGTTTCGAGTGGCAGGTGGTAGGATGTTGAGATTGGAAAAGCTGGAATATTGTAACAGTCATACAATCCCACACACTCAATTGCATCTGAAGAACAAGCAATTATAGGCCAAACTGGGCAGCCTTTTTAAGAACTCTGTTTATGAAGGCTTGTCTTGTATCTCGTGACGGCTAAATCTTCACAGATGTCGGTGAGTGCATTTTTTTTTTTTTTTTTTTTAAACACGTCCCTGTTTTTCCCCTTTTGTTTGCGCCTACATTATATTTCCATTTTCGTTTCTTCTTCTTAGTTTTAATGATTTAGAATTGGATGATGTTGCTTGGGTTTTTACAGTTTTGTGGCAGGTAAAATTGGTACTTCATTTGACTCGCAAATGGACCGTTTTACTCGGAAACCTTCAAATGTGTCTTTGTCAGTCTTTCTGAATTTATATCTGTTTTTGTCTCCGTCATTAAAACTTCCCTCGTTGTTGTTCATTCTCAATACATGGCCCTCTCTCCATTTCATTTTCTTTCTTCTTTACATTCTGCCATTTTATCTCTGCATACTTCCCTGCCTTTCTCTGACTCTTTGAACAAAGGCACGATAAAGATGCTGGTCCCTTGTCTGCATTCCCCCCTCTTCGTCCCTTCTTACATTAGTATGCTAACATTACATTCACTGATTAGATAGCTCGCTTCAAGGATGAATCCCCCACCCCCCAAGTGGCCCTTGCCTGTGTGTGTGTGTGGACAGACAATGCCACAACCCTATTCGTGGTGGTCTGCAGTTTGAGAGGCATCACTACTTCTCACTTTTTTTCTTTTTCATGTTGTCCACGGCAGTAGTCGTAGCAGTTCTCTCTTGTATTATACCATGCCTCCTCTTCTCATTTCTGTAGAAAGAATTGTTTCTACTTGGTATTAATTTGACACTCTATTTATCAGTATTTGCGTTTTCTTTTCTGTAGTCCATAAACAAACAGCTGTTGCGTGGTTTAGCTGTTACTCCTAATGACAAGCTTTCTTCTGCCTGTAGGTGGCAGCATGAAATCTCTGAAATGGTTTCAGTAGACTGTAATCATAATGCATGATAGTGACCAATAATGTTAAAGAATATTCTTAATTGACTGCCACTTTCTTTGTAGTTTATCTTCTGCTCTTTGGAAACCATTTTTTAAACTTCAGTTAAAGATTGTATTGATTTATTTTTGGAAACTTATCCCACAAACCTAATATTAATCTTCTAGCTTGTTAGAGCTGTAAACTGGAGACTCTTCAAAAAAAACAAGTGACAGAGCTTTAGTATTAGCTCACATTTGGTGACATTTCATTTTTTTTTTTCACGATTTTGTCAAAATAAACTTCTTCCTCTTTTCGATCTTTTTACCAGGCACCCATGTTCTCCTGGCCACGACTGAGAGATGCAGATCCTGTGCTTCGCTGTGAGATGGCTTCCACTGGAGAAGTAGGTCCCTTGCAAATATTCAATAATGTTATACATATATATAATTTCTTTATTATTCTGTCTCAATTGTAGAATCAGTTCAAAGACATTCTCATGTTTCTCCTTTTTTTTGTGTTCTGATGCAGGTAGCTTGTTTTGGACCAAACATTTACTCAGCCTTCCTAAAAGCTATGCTGTCAACAGGCTTTAAGTTGCCTCAGAAGGGCATCCTGATTGGGATTCAGGTAATGCTCCAACTATTATGCTTTTACTTCTTTCCATTTCTGTTTCCTTTAGGTGCTCCCCTACAAGACATCAAATGTGCCTTTTAATAAGGTAGACAAGTGTTTCAGGCTATCGGGTTCATGCAGGTCTAACTACTCTCACTGACCTATAAACTATGACCAACTCTGGCAGTCTGGGAATGGCCCAGTAAGGCTGCAGTACATGTTATGGAAATGATAAAAGTTCTCAGTTATAGAACTGATGCTTTTTTACATAAATGACTAAGAACTACCACTGACATAAGAGTCACATTAGTTAAAGAGAAAACTGTTTACGTACTTATCAGAATGCTATGTCAGAATGAAAAACTTGCTGCAAAACACAGAAGCTTTTCCAATCTGCAGTCACAGAAAAGAACAAAGTGCTGGACTGTTTTCTGCCACTGCATTACATGATTTTTAGTAATTAAGTCTTGCTGCTACCCAGAGTTGCCAAACTGCGAGTTCACTAATGCAGCTTTAACAAAGCACTCACAGCACCAGCTGTGTAATTGGTGCTCTTGGGGAACAGGTCCACTTCAAGGCAAGTGCCTGGGGTCATATACAGACTATAATGTGGCTGACAAACAGCAGCAATTTTGGCTGACGGATCCAAAGAAGGCAGACACATGGAACTACAAAAAAACTTAGTTGTAGGGGAGTTTAAAATGGTCTTTTTGATTGAGCAATCTTTGTGAATAAGTCTGCTGGAGGGTGGGGTAAACATCTGAGTTTCACACAGAGTTCTGAAATGATGTACTCATTTTAGGCTCATTTCTGTGATGCTGATATGAGTTTTTTTAATGGATGTTCTGCTGACAGTGTACACATTGGACTCTTGGTTTCTGCCTATCACAGTTTTTTGGCAGAAAAGTTCCTAAACCCAACCAGCTGCAGTAGAGGAGGCGGGGGATGGGAGGGTTCAGTGCTTCATTACAATTTAATACTGTGCTCTTTTCATGCAGCATTATCAATCCTCCATATTGAAGCTAATCACCTATTGCGCAGTAACACAAGAACAATATATCCACTAAAATACCAGAGATGGCAACAGAGAGATAAAAGTTTATTTTTTTCTTTCAGCATGAATATAACATATAATAGTCATATAATATAATTGCAACCATCCAAGGAAAACTTAACTTAACTTAACTTA